AATAGGATGGCGGTTCTCTTTAGAGGAAAACATGTTAATTGAACATTTTACAATTCTGATTTGAATCTCCTATCTTAAAGAGCATCTCTATATGTTGAGTCCAGTGGTACCAATCCTCTGAGCACTAGAAATAACTGGAAACAAAATAATCTAAATGTGAAAGGCCAGACATCTCTTCGGTCAGCTCTCTGATGTTGGAGAACACCTTGCCCAGTGACTCTCAGACTTTAAAGTACATACAAATCACCTGGGGATCTTGTTAAAAAGTGGGTTCTAAATCAGTGGGTTTAAGATGAGAACTGATTTAAGACCTGAGGTTCAGCAATTTAACAAGCTCCCTGGCGAGGCTGACATGTACACATGGCACTGAGTAGCACATGTCATGAAAGCAGCTCAGAAACTCACCTGGATCAAAACTGGAGGCTAGGAACTGAGGGAGACCAGTCCAATACCTCAGGATGGCATAGCTCTTGATAGTTGTGAAACAGCTAACACTGGACTTCATGTCTCAGTTAGCCACACAAATACTCCATAGGTCAATATTATCACATAGCTGGAAAAAATGGGTACACTCATTTTCTGTTGTTAATTTGACAAATAATCACAAATTTCTCTTTTTTTTACTTTTCAGATTCATTTACTTTTTGTTTTACCTGGACATATATACATATGTATACCATGTGAGTTCCTGGTGCTTACGGAGGTCAGAAAAGAGCACAAGTGTTGGAAACTGTACCCAGGGTCTCTGAGAGAGCAGGAAGTGCTCTTAACCACTGAGCAATGTAACGAGGTGCCCCATAAATTTATTTTTAAATTAATCATTTAGAGCTCAGAAGTTCTAAAATGAAGTGTGGGCAGTCAGCTGTGTTCCTTCTGGGGTTCTCAATTCTCTAGGACCCCAGTGCTCCTTGGCAGGTGGCTCCTTCCCCTCTGTATTCAAAGCCTGCAACACATCACTCCGATACTTGGTCCTTCACCATGTCTCACCACCCTGGGGACAAGTCTTTGCTTTTAAGGGGCCTCTGAATAGCACAGGGCCCCTCCATCTCAGAGTATGATCCATCATCAGACATGCAGTCTCTTTTGTCACACAGCTGATATTCAGTTTCTGAGAATTAATGCATTGACACGGGGTGGGGGGGAGGCTTATGCTAGCTGACCACAAAAACAGATAATAGGATTTGGGGCCTGGAATCAAATTCATAACTGTTTGTCCCCAGAGTCCATGCTCCTCAAGGTGCACAACTCCACAAAAGATGCTGAGCTGAATGTTGTTCTGGAGGACAAATCAGGAGTGGAGAGGAAGAGTCTTGTGAGGCAGAAGCAGTCAGACCCCGTCATCCTTTTCAGCTGAGCTCCTGGTCCTGTGGTACATCTGGCCCATTGTGAGTCAGTCAGCATTCTCCTCCGACACGGTGAAATCCAGTCCTTCTGGGCAACTTCAGCAGCTGGTGGTGATACCCAATGGGCACGGAATTCCCGGCCATCGTGCGACATGACTAAAACATGGGTAGACAGCAGGGTTACAGGAATTGGAGAATAATTACATTTTCCAGGATCTACCCAGAAGTGAAATAAGTGAGCCTCAAACACTGAACTTCCTTGCTGGAAGGAAGCCTGATGGCCACTGGGTGCTGTGTCCACACAGCCCAGACCCTCTCCCTGAGCCCTGATAAACACTGGGTGCTGTGTCCACACAGCTCAGACCCTCTCCCTAAGCCCTGATAAACACTGGGTGCTGTATCCACACAGCTCAGACTCTGCTCCCAGAGGCCTGATGACCACTGGGTGCTGTGTCCCCACAACTCAGACCCCTGCTCCCATGAGATTGTGCCTACCTGGAGCTTTAGCCCCTAAATCAGAACAAAATCCACACCACGCTTCCTGAGCACACACAGAACCAGATCTTACTGTAAAACCAGTATTTCCAACCTACAGTACTGGGTTTCCTAGTGTCCAGACACACCTTCACCAGTAAATCAGGAACTGATTATGCTGGGCCCACACCACGCATACAGATATCCTAGCACTCAGCTTAGGGCCTGTCATACACACACACTCAGGAACACTGGTTTAGTGAAAGTTGAACAAATGAGGTTTTAATACTTAGGACCACCTGTAAAGGAAGCTACTGCCCTCATCTTGCCAATGAGAAAGCTGAAACAACAGGAGGACATTAAATTACATGAGTTGTAGGCAATTAGACTCACCACATGTCTTATTCCTGTCAACTCTAGGTGGCCTCTATAATCTAGGTGGTTTATAACAGACTCTCACAGTTCGGGAGGCCAGCAAACCCAACATTCAGCTATCAGCATATTCTGTGTCTGGGGAAGGCCGCCTTTCTCATAGATCGAATCTACTAGTAATCATGTAGGTAGAAGGGACACAGTATTGTTACACCAGCCCGTCACGCACCACAAAGAAGGAGAGTAGTTTTTGCCATTTGTTCTATGTTGCTTAGCTGGCTATAGGTTTTAAGCGTGTTTTTTCTTACATTTCCCTCTCCTAGAGCACACTTGATATTTGCTATCTTTGTATATAGTTTTGTATCGAGCCTAAGTCTTTTTCTTTAGACTAAAAGGGGAATTGTAGTGCGATATCCACCCTGCCGGCACCTAAAGCACTGACCACACCCCTTTGGGTGTGGTCACGGGTGTGGGCATGACTGAGAGTTGTTTTAGGTCTGGGGTGGGGGCACAAGTGGCTCTCTCTCTGGCTTCTGGTCGGGTCGCAGACAGCAGCCTGTGTGGATCCTTGGAGAGGGAACTTGCGGCAGTCAACTGTTTCCTGTGTAAGTGCCGTCTCCCTGAATAAACTTATATTAACTTATATTGAGCCTAGTCCAGTGAATCTCAACCCACAAGTCTATAGCCCCAAGCAGGGACAAAAGCACAAAACTCACAAACATTTGTTGCCAAGTTACACTTACAATTTTCACCATTCAGGAATCAAAGGTTAGGGACTTTGCTTGTGTGCTCCATCATTGTCAACCGACAAACAGTGCAAGTCTTTTGGTCCAGCCAATCAGATTCATTTGTTCCTTCTGTTGTTAAGAACAGTCATAATATTTCTAGAGAACTAAAGATGCATAATGACTGTTTCTATGGTTTAGTCGAGAGGTTGGTCAGTCACTGGAAATTTCTCAGCTCCCCGAGGGCTTAGGAACCTGAACTTTGTTTCACCCTGTAGGTAAAATGGAGTCTGAAATCAAAATGGCAGTACTCAGGTCAAGGTGCTTTGGCCTGCTCCCTTCCGGTTCTCTCTCATAGAGGCTCTAATTTCATTTGTTTTTGGTTTTTTTGTTTGTTTTTTGAGACAGGGTTTCTTTGTATTGTTTTGGAGGCTGTCCTGGAACTCGTTCTGTAGACCAGGCTGGCCTCGAATTCACAGAGATCCACCTGCCTCTGCCTCCGGAGTGCTGGGATTAAAGGTGTCCACCACCAACGCCCAACCTCTAATTTCATTTGTAAGACTCCTACTGCTATGACCTAATCACCTCTCAACAGTCCCAACTCCTATTACCATCTCCATGGATCTTCAACATATTAATACACAAATGCTACAAATAATCTGTGCCAAACTGAAGGCAAGGGCGGGGTAAGGGCAGGGCTGGTCCCCCTCAGTGCTACTGGAGAGTGAGAAAATGAACCCTGTGGATTGCCTTGTTTCTAGCACAGTAACTAGGTTACCTCCATCAAGAAAAACCTAGCAGGGTGCGCTCATTCATCCTGTAATTCCAGCAACTGGCAGGCTAAGGCACAGGATTGCTAGTTTGAGACAAATCTGGGCTATCTATACAGCAAGACCCTGTATTGGGTGGTGGAAGTTCTCTTATTCAAAGTAAGCGACTGACCGGCTAATAATCTCGAGATTTAATCATAGGACATAGAAACCTGCACTCCCCAGGCCTCACACCACACCACCAGAGTTCCAGAGTGGAAAGGGCTGCCCGGTACAGGCTCTCTCAGGGGAGGTGATTTAAGGGAGCCCACAGTCAAGAGGGGAAACAAATTAGAACACGGGGAGGAATACAAAGCCTCTGGCACAAGCTGCCGTAAATAAATACAGCCCAATCAATCCATTCAGGCACGGTAACACGAATCCTCATGCTACATGTCAACATATCTCAGTTCCTATTTTCCAGTATAACCATTACCAGATATGTGAGGCAGGGGCCTTTAGGAGCCATCTCCTCCATGGTGCAGCCACTCTTTAAAGAGTCGGCTGATACACTCTTAGGGTTGTTCTTTTACATTTCAGCTAAAACTCTTTGGAGAAGTTTAGAAGGGACAGCCAAGTAACTCAGCATTTGAAGTCTCTCTGCCTGTCCTCAGTTCCCAGGTTCCTGCAGTCGCCATGGAAGGAGTTCCAATGAGACACAGAGATTAGGGGAGAAAACGGGTAGACTATTACAGAGTGACTCCAGGTCTCTCAGAAAGAGAGTGGACAATAGCCAAAGGGACCCTCAGCCTGGTTGACATTTTAGGCCTGGTGTTATATACTATTTCTTAAGCTTCCAGGATAGACAGTTTTCCAGAGAAACGCCTTCCTGTCCAGGTGACTGATAGGCCCATTTGGATTGACTATTACAGGAAGGAAAATGCTATGTTTTCATTTTTTTCAGAAATCTTCTTCCTATACATTAATCTCATAAGGTTGAGGCCCCTGGAATTAGGTTTGACAGCTATCAATTAGTGATATCTCGTCTCTTCCCACATCACCATTGCTCAGGGTCTTGCTCTCAGCAATAATTAGGGACCTGTTGCTCTGTTCTTGGTTTGATGAGCAGCTGATTATGACGGAAGGTTCCAGCACAATGTCCTCTCCTCCTGCTGATAGCTAACTACCTAACATGGGTTGATTATTTTAGGCGACCAAAGCAAACCTGACTCATTGTATTACTGAACTTGCCACACCCAGAAATCTTTTACCCAACAGCTTCCCCTTTTGACTTGAGCCAAGCATGCTCAGTTTTCCATCATTTTTTTCTTTTTAAAAAAATCATAAAATGCTTCACGGACGTGCATATCATCCTTCCACAGGGGATATGCTAATTTTTCTGCATTGTTCCATCTTTAGTATATAAGCTGCCAAGACAAGCAC